TGCTGAACCTCGGCGACTGTCCCTTCCTCTTCCTTGGTGCTTCATCTTTCAAACAATGGAGGACCAAAGAGTGTCTCAATTACATATTGATTGAACAGAGCCTCCTGGATTCGGTTAAAAACCGCGTTGACATGGAAGGATGAAGTGAGAGCCTTAACAAGGAGGGTTTTCAGAAGCCATATCACTGTTCCTATAAATAAACACACCAAAATCTTTGTCCTATAAAGTAAGATCTTGCTCTTACTCTCCTCAACCTCATGATGAAAAACGAAGTGTCAAATGAGCAAAGACAAACCCAACCAGAGGGAACTCTATACCGCTCTCCTCAACCCATAAACAAAATACAGAATCCGTTTCCACAAAAGAAAATTGTGTTCATTAAAGATCACAACAAGCTTAATTCCGCAACCAGACACCAAACGACCAATCTTGTTTACGACTAACCTCCATGAATTTTGTTCAAAAGCATCGAAAGATGGTTTGTTTGCTCGGTCCTTGCTTCTCTGCTGGAAGGCTTCGTTGAGTACACCCTCAAACGACACTTTGAATTTCTTTGATGAACCTTCAATTTTATTGCTTGGAATTTCACTGCTGGATTTTGAAGCAATAGTAGTTCCTTCGTCACAAACATCAGCATTATTGATGTTGACAATGACTTGTTCATTCTGGTCAAGTGAACTAGAGGACTGTGCTTTGTGACATTCCCTATCATGGCGCAGAGGAGCTTGTGAGTTTATGTTTCTTCTTCCAGGTGCTCTGGTTGTTGTTTAAGCCTGAGCACCATGAGATATCAGGGAATTTATCAAGGGTTCCATTAGAGGATCTTAGGGGAATCTTCGAGGCCTCGTGTGGGTAATAAATTATTGTTATGTAGTGCTTTTAAGCATGTAATTATAGTTGATAAATAAACATTCGAATTTTAATAGTGCAGCATCATCACTTTACTCTTTGCACTAATTGAGTGGACACGGAGCTCATGGAAGCTACAGATTTGGAAAACAAAGGCAAAAAGTGTTTTGGAATCAGCATTCTGGTTAACTTGCGGTGTGCACTTTCGTATCTTCTATTCTTTGTGAAAACCCACTGATGGTCGAGTTGCACCTAATTTTTTTAATCAAAACAATGTTTTTTTTTTAAAACAAAAAACCCTTAAAATATCAACTTGTTGAGAGTCTTGATAAGTATATTAACCTGGATTTTTAATCAAATCAACCAGATTTTGAATTCACTCCTCAGATCATCCCGGGTTTTACAACTATGCTTTCATGGTATAAATTCACTACTTTTGGCTTAGCTAAAGGAGGGAACCTCTGAATGCATTTCCTTCTCAAAAGTTTTTTGCTACTTTCACTTACCTAAGACTCGCATTCGGTTTGGTGGGGCTGAAATGGATTATCAATTAATGAAACTTTTCCTTCAGCACATGAAACTTTTTGATGGATAGTATGGAGTTGTCCTCATTTTTCCGGACACGGTATAGCTTAATACACACCCTTGGCCTGTCCCTCCCAAGCCAAGGCATGGGGAAGGCCTACTCTATCAGGTTCTATTCTTTTCAGAGAGGAAGAAAAAACAGTTCTACCAAAACTGGTTCGGGTTAAACAATGTTGGCTCTGTAAATAAGGTTGAGATTCATT